TTCGACGCGTCGTATATGTGACGGGTAAAAATTTGCGTGTTAACACGTACCGGATTACTGTAAGAGCCGAGTGCCTTACTGAATTTTCGCTTCTGTGTCTCTTTGTGGGTCCGAACACCCTCGCCCCTGAGACGACTTGGTTTCGACACTTCAAGACGTAGACCAGATATGACATTTAGACCTCCTATTCAAAGTGACTTTTTTTTGTCGAGTTCGTTGACTCCTCTATAGCCTAAATACGCCGTCAATAGAACGCGGGCGAAGGTTTTGCAGCCATTTTGGGATGCCGCCCTAGCATTATCCATTAATCTTTTGCAAATTCAGTCATAATTACAATAATGGGGTATTTCGTTATCCACCTGACAACATTGCATGCGGCTCCTACCAGCGACACTTTTGCAGGAAGTGGTTTTTACCTTGGTCAGGATCGACATCAGCATTTCTAGCATTTCTGGGTGCAGACTTGGGCCTACTCTTTTAACCACTCGGCTAACCCTGATCATTGTTCCTGCTACAATCTCTATTATTATTGTCATCTATTATTGAAGTTTCATCGAAGCATATGCTAAGCTAAGTTTGTTAAAGCTACCTAGCTATTAGCTACTACCTAGAACACGGGCACTCTTGTCAGCGAAATAATCGAAAAAGGCCCTCGCCACGAATAGGCTGTGTTTATACTTCGTGCCGCTCAATGAAAGCCGATGTGCGGCTGTCGCTGGACTATGGACGCTGAAGAGCGACGAATAGCGACGCCGTTGCCAGCTGTCGACTGATACCCCACTGCTATGCTCTACTGGTACTGATTGAATAATTTTTTTNTTTTTTTGAACATTCGTACAGATTGCTTTGCATCGCTCTTTCCATTGTATTGTTTGGTAACAGTGTGCATCATCTGATGCTTAGTAGCTCTCATTCAAAACCATGTAACTTCCCGTAGAATTCCCTCCCAAAATACAATATCACAAAGCAAAAGAAATGTACAAAAAGAGAAACTAAAAAAGGAAGCATTCTACGAAAACAAAACAAACACTTACACAAGGCATACTACAAAGCAATTAATGTAAAGTAATTATGGGATACGAAAAAGAGCTAAGCAAAGGAAACATATTGAATGCTTGAGAAGCGGTCGAATGTTAGATGAGCCGCATGGACTTCAATCACGTTGCAGAAGCCATCTCGGTGAAGCGAAAATGTAGGTAAAATTTTACAACACTGATGTTCAGAACGTGGAAATCAAAATGTAACGAGGAAGGATCCCAAGGTACCCAATGAAACCAATCAAGAAGTAAGCAGTACTTGGGAACGCCTACATTCAAGAAAGCACAATACTATATATAAAATGTAAAAAATACACAAATACGGAACAGAAAATAGAAATACTAGGTGATTATTATTCGAATTCTCATCTTATGCCGTGAAATCAATCATTTACGACGTAATTGTCTACAGCCTACCTAATTTTACGTCACACCGCCATCGTTGGCCAGCGAATTCATAATACTTAGGTTAGAGCTTCGGCCTTAACCTTTGTATACCGGTCTATTCGCTCTGTTATGATACAGGTAAGGCCAAAGTTAAGTAGTCTCATGAAGGGGGTCCTCATCTTATTGTTAGAATTAGAAAAGGACAATGGCATCGGACTTCAGAGTCGCTATTGCGGTGCCCTAATGCTTGAAACAGCTTCGATCCCCATTTTTGAAAGTATTTGGTAGCTTTGAGATGACTCAAAAAGAGTGATTTCTCAGTTTGCCTGTATTTTCTGGGCTGAGAAGCGGACGTCTCAGCTAGCCCAACCCCTCTCCCCCCCTCCACTGAAAAAGGAGAGTATTCCGCTCGCTCACAGGTACATGAAAGAAGGAGACTCGGAAAGAGTCATACATCAGCAACGATTTTGCCTTTGACGTCAGCGACTTGATAAGAACCAGTCGTTAAGGACCACACCCGGTGGCTGCAACTACAATGTGGACTCGTTAGGTGTAAAATAACTGAATGGATGTAACGGAAATGACGATTTCACTCTTCGAATCGGAAAGGAGTGCGTTCACCTCTAAACAATCTACGTAGACGCTTTGAAGGCGCAGCTCATGATAATTTTGAGGTACCCCTTTTAGGTTGGAAAGCGAAAGTGTTGATGTAGAGGGGTACATTGGTGGCGAAGAAAGCGAGAAAATCCGCCTACTTCAAGGCTTTTTAAGAGTAGCGAAAGTGGAGGTTGTACGAGATCACCGTGACGGGAATGGCTTGTAAGGGGTGTTTGGACGAGATTTAACTTGCTCCCATCGAGCAAAGAGCTGACTTCATCAAGCCATAACTGTCCATGGCCATTCACTGTCGCTTTGGCTCATGAAAAGTTGTTTGAACTTCCTACATTGGTCCCCTTGTGAATGATGCAGGCTCTACAAAGCCGTTGAAACTCCTCCGCTATGGATGCGACACTTACATGATACAATCTCCGTCCGCTTATTGTGCCCTCTCCAGGATTTTTCCGACCTTATAACAGCAGGTATGGTATAAGGGGGAGCCTCGAATTCGTACTATAGGGGACCACAGAAACCATTTCTATAGTGAACTGTGCCTATAAACATCCATCTCCCATTTTTGGGACCTTCGCTAGCATCAGAGCCATAATCGGTTAAAATAGGTTCGAGGGTGATGTCTCCATAAGAAATCACCTTCAGTATCTTCCGAATAACTGGAATCAATTAGAACACCTTCAAAAGGCAATGGCGCTTCTCTCCTGATGACCAAGTTGGGATTTGATCCGCTGAACTATGTTGTGATGGCGACACCTTAGACCACTTACACACTTCCGCCCTTCCTCCAGTCCCTCCCACCTCCCGTAGCGTAACGCTTAGTTTTCTTAGCTGTGAATTGGGATAGCGTAAAAATTCAATTGACAAGGCAATGCCCTAGTCAACGATTGCACAAAATACTTTCACTAGTGGTGTTCAAGCTAATTTCAACAGCAGAAATATAGCTAAATGCTTAATAGGAAGAGTTCACTCGTGAGCAGTAAGCAGAGGACAATGGGCGTCCCCTTGTAGAAATAGGAAAAGGTCGAAGCAAAAGATAATAATAGCAAAACTGTTCTGGTCATTAAAGTACAGTGTGATGGAACTGGTTTATTGATGCCCCCAGACTATAAACATCGAATAAGTGGTCTTATTGACTCATCAAACCTTCCTCATGACAGTCACTGGATCATCTGAACTGGACGTCCTCTTGAACCATCCAGCAACGGCAGCAACGGCTCATCGTTCAGGAACCAATAAAACAATTGCTACATCGATTAACAGCAATTAGGACGATTTTTAATACATTATAATGCTTTACAAGTAAACAGGAGAACACGGAGCATGGGCTCAGGCTTCAGCCTTCTTTGCAGGCACAAGCCTATCCTTGAGTTGTCTCATGCAGGGCAGCTTTGTGAGACAGCACTTGTCAGACAGAAGACAGCAGTTTTGTGGCATCAGACAGCATGTATCCTTCTTCCTAGATGGGAAAATTTACGCTGATTGGTTGAACAAAATGAGCCAAGAGATGCCAATATGCCAAATGAGTATTGGAGATCTTGTCTCATCCAATTAAAATTCAAAATTACTTTTTTNTTTTTTGACGAAACAAGGCACTTCTGGGGCCAGCAAGAGTTAGTCACAGGCTTACGGTGTCTTGGGGTTCCTGAAGGCACCAACACCGAATAGTTTCCCTTCCCCGACCCTTCTTCCCTCACAACCAGCTAGTAGGTGCATTTTCGGGAAATCAGGTTTAGGGGCTCATAGGCATATGTCCGGCTCTTATGCTACTGTGAAGGAGGGATTTACGAAAGAATTCTATGTCGCTCTGAACACGAAATTGTTGATCGAGAGGTTTGAATGGTAAGAAAAGAAAAAATGATCCTCAATTCGCGCAGACGATGGCGGAGCCCCTAGCCATTGCCACAACTTTGCTGTAAAGTGATGCAAGCTATCGTATAATATTATAAAACTCACCACTCCCAAATTGAAACGGCAGTGCCTTTGACGGCAGACGTAATTTTAGTACCAAAATTGGGCTCGTGTTCGGAGAATAGCTTTGACACAGATTCTTCCGAAGCCGCCTTCTCCAGTGGCTTATCCGAAGCCTTCTCAACGGCGACATTGAGATCTTCTGGCTTGAACTGCGACTTTTTCAGCAGTTTCATTTTTGAAGTACACAGCGACTCCTAGGGGTGGACAGAGCGAGACGTCACCGAAGCGCAACAGACGTTCTAAGCCGATGATTTCGTTCGGCGACTTAAATGTGGGGCAGGTGGAACCAGATCTGGCCGATGACTCAGGCAACCACATTGAAACGTCCTTCCACTTGTTAGCTGAACCGGATCCTCGATATTTACTAGAAACAGTTGGAGGCCATAGTCGCACAGCGGTTTCCATATACGTCTAGATGAAACAATTGAGACTAACTGGCTAACCCACATCGATTGGTTTGAATGCGCCACATATTTGGCTTTTGTTTGGAATCGCTGTCTCGTTTTAATGGGCGCAGTGTTTATACAATACTTTGGGAGGTCAATCGCTGTTCATCTTCGTCCCAATTCCGTCGAAAACTCTATATTAATTCCAGGTAGGTAGTGGTAAAGGCTGCAGCTCCAAATTCCGAATGTGGTCCATGAATTGATTCCACGGTTTGTTTTGTTTTGGGACAGGTTCGTTCTGCCCGTCACTCCTCTGAAGTTGGATGTTTGGAACGAAAAACAATGACTTGGAAGTTAGTTGGCCCATAACGTATCCAAACCGAAGTCTGCGCAATGCTACCAAACACTTCTATGAATCCTTAGGGAACTCAAAAATGTCCCGGGTCAGGAAAAAAGACGGCCGTTTAGACTTCGTTCCTGGTCAAGTTACTTACTTCCTCTAAGCTACCTGTGCTTTAACGGAACAGCAAAAAGCGGCACAAGCAAAACCCATAATCCGATATATGAGTTCTACCTACAAACGATTCGGGCGTATTCTTCCTTCGTCACCATTTCCTTTGTTCCGGAATGCTTTCGGCAGACGACACAGGCCTTATCTCGAGGCGCCTTCTCGCTAACCAGCTTACGCTTTTATTTCCTGACTAGGTAGTACGTCATTCTGATAAGAATCCCTACAAATAGAAGGTCCGCGAGAAATCGCAGTCGACTGAAAATGTTCTTGAAACTTAGTGTGCTTGTCCTGCTCATCGCTGTCGCTTTCGCGGTGAGTTTTTCATTTTCATAGAGACTCACAATGGAAATGCGCCATGCTATCAAACACCCGCTGCTTTCATGTTATGGCTATATTTTGAGGAATCGGGCCCCTTCTAATATCCAGTAGATCGGGATTCTGGCATTTAAGGGCACCTTTTCCAAGTCACTTTCATGTCACTGTCCTCCGCTGGGGGTAAGATCTTAGTGGAAGAGTCTACTAGTCGCACTAGGCTTATGAGGGTACCCTATCAAGCTGTCGTAATTGGGAAACCGCTCAACTGTTCCGGACTGAGGCCGATCTGTCAATGTTATTTACTTTGTTGGCACTTTTTACATTTTAACCATTTTCATTTAATTCTGCTCTTATCATCTCAGCAACGTGGCACCCCTCCAGCACCATCCGAGTGCCAAATCTGTGAGCATATTATCGCTCAGGCCAGACATCATTTCAATAACAATGTTACCAACGAGAAAGCCCTTCAACAAGAGGTAAGCCCTATCAGGACTAAGGTCTTAGAAAAAGGGCAAGGAAAGTGTTCGTGCTAGGTTTTGCTAACAAAAAACCATGGTATTTTTACAGCTTCTCAACGAATGCAAGCACTTGCCACCACAGGAAGGAGCATCAGCTGAGCAAACCTGCATCGATATGGTAAACAAAAATATCGACAAGATATTCTCGGTAAGTTAGGATCACCACTTGAGAACACCTTGGGAGCGACGGGAATAGCATAATGGACGAGGAGGTTTCCGACGACCTTATACCGTAGAAGGCTTGTCAGCTAACTTTTTAGAAGCCCTTTACTTTACTTTTGTTCTGAGTTTCGATTAAATTTGATCACTTGAGAATGGTGAAGGCCAAAGTAAAGGGCTTGCAGTAGGAATTTCGCTAGCTTCGCATCCACATGCAATCCACAAAGGTAACTGAAAGGCTCAAATCACAGTAAAAATATCCACAGAGAATGAGAAGACATGGCGTATTCGAATAGGTCCCACCACTGTTAAAGACAATGTTTCTTCATGGTTTATTCTGAACTGTGATTTTTCAGGATATTAAAGCAGGAGATCGTGATGGACAGACTTGCTTTGATATTGGAGCCTGCACCAGCATTCCCACGTTCCAAACTCGCCCATATCATACCAGGCCACCCACAAATCTCAGAGCTCAGCGCAAATAGACAGTACTGCCTAGCGATTCAATCCACGTCTATTATTAGCTTTAAATAAAAACTTTATGTAGTAAGTGTTTGTGTTTGTTATCATCTTATATGACTCATTCCTAAAATAAACTGGAACAACTTAACCGATTTCGAATAAGTGGGAATCAGTGAGACTACCTGAATACACATGGCTTAAGTTGGACTTCCCCACACTCTCTGGAGTGCGTGAAATGAGCGTTTTCCCGACAGAGATAAAGTGTGACGCCTATTGGAATTGGTAGGTAATGAGCCGAGCCACTCAAAACACCCGAAAGGTAGACTCCGCCCGCAGTGGGCGGGGCGTGAGCAAAATGAGGGTCAGCTCAGCGAAAAAATACTCTACACTTCTATATAAACATCCGAAAAAGCGCGAGAACGACATGTTAATGGATGTGCATCCTGAGCAGTTGATCTTCTGTTAACAACTTGGTCAACTGTGGTCTATAAGGATCGTCATACACCACTTTCATTCGGAATTTTGATAGCATTTCAATGTGTACCAGATAAAAAAAGCTAAAAGTGAAATGATAACGAAAAATTCAGCTAGGCTAGCGGATTTAGAATTGAGTCACCTATGGATGAAATTGGGCCACCTATGGATGCTGAAAGGATATATCCAGCGCTATCGTAGAACGTCAACGAGCACCGGATATGCAGTTTCCCGAAACGTAATAGTTTGCGACGCAGCGCATTCTTTTGCCTATTGTCCACAATCTCTAAAAGAGGCATTTGTTAAGTATGAGGAATTAAAATTTAAAATTTAAAATCAATCACGTCCTCGAGGATACTAGCTACCCATACACTTTTTCTGATTTTCTATTACTTTTGTATTTTAATAGCTTTGTGCAAATGACTATTGTATGAACTCTCTCCCACATATTTAAATCAGTGCGCGCTTCATAAAAATCTGGGAAAATTCGCTAGACCACGGTGAATGAGCCCATACCAAGAAGAAAATGACCCAGCAACGTCCGGCATTTTTCATAGATCTGTGGGTGGGTGTTATGTCTGCTGTAATGCTTTATTATGTAGGTGTTTGTTATGTTTTGTCCAACCATTGCAATAAAACATGCCCTTTTTCTGAATTCCCCTTACACTTACACTTACACTTACGTTGGCTGCAGACCCTTCTAACTCATTGCAGATGTTTCCCTCGGCAGCATCTACACACCCTCCGAATCTGAGACTTCCAAGACACTGATACAAATGCTCAACTAAGCCCTTACTCTCATATGTGTTTCTTTCTAAACTTGTCGTGGAAATAATTAGGTTTAGCCAATATCTGAATCTCTTTTTCGAAAGCTACATCCATTATTTGAAGAAAATTCATCCTTCTTGGTCCCTCCTGATTTTGCTTCTGCTCTTGTCTTTGTCCTGTTCCACCTAAACTTTTCCAAAATGATTTACCTCCAAGGTGACTGGAGAACAAAAGAGCTCTCTCTCTGAGTCATGTGGGAATGGGGAACAATCCCTAAATTGAGCTCCTAGGGTCTTTCAAAGGGATACTCCCGCACCTGAGGATCTGAGATTCGTTTATGAGAACGTATTCGAGATCCAGCTTATTTGCAAAACCGAGAACGGAATCTTGTAATTCGGTAGATTAGATCAAACATATACCGAGCACGCAGCAACTCCGAATGGGAGCCAAGTGCTGGGCGCATCCGAAATTGGATTGCTTACTGTCAGAACGCTACCCCTCCCATCCTATCCTTTTTTTTAAGTTGGTCCATCGTCCATCCAAAAGTTCAGCAAGGCCGTTTCAGGAACGTTCTCGACTCCTACAACAATGATTCTCTTGTGGAGCTTGCTGATGCTAGGGACGATTGCTCCCAGTATGACACGGTATGCTTCATATCGAGGAGCATCAGGTGACTGTCTTCAGAGAAAACAGCAGAATCAGGCGATCCCCCTTCTTATTCAGACTTTTCCAGGTTTTCGCAATACTTTCGACTACGACTTTACAACCTGGATACCGGAACTCCAACCGTCTGAGACTACTTCTACCATGAGCACTAATGAGACAGAAATGATTGAGTCTATGGATCATCTACGGAGTCGCTATTTACAAGAAATAATTAAAGCGGTTTGATTTATTAAGACAAAATCATTCCTATCAAAATCATACTTTCACTACCGTTCCACGACATTAGGACACCATTAGCCAAAAAAGGGAGATCCAAAAAAGGGGCTTTTAAATACTTCCGTTAATGGCAGGGTCATTTTTACCAAAAAAAAAGAAAAGAAACCATTGAAGAGAGATATAAGGTGTAAGATTCTTGTACTTTTATGCATCCAGGAATTAGTTTTGTAATGCGTTAAGTAGAAATAATCGAATGCACGTCTTTACAGAAACACATCCTAATTTAGTCGAGAACACTAGACAAGATTCATATTTCCGGCAGCTTTATTTGAACCGAATATTTTCACGGTACTTAGCGACACTCCATCGTTTGCGTCTAGACTTTTACTAGACATCGCCTACGATATGCGATGCAAACGCGACGCACCAGTCACGCAACGCGTTCAACAATATTACGAAACACTTTGAGTCATGTTGGGGTTGAGCGCGATTTCTCAAATTGCAACCTCTTTGATGTGGCCCAACAAATTTTGTAATGTTTATCCACCGCATAACATGCTCGTAGCGTTTACGCCGATGGGAGGGGCAAAAATTCGTTTTGGGAAATTCACCAGGAAATTTTAATCACGTTATGCTTATGATAAAGATCTGAATTGAATTCATTTTATATAATTACAATTTCTGCAAGTTTTTAGGATAACCTGAGAAATGAACTGCAAAAAGCCAACCCCTCATTGTATTCACGTTTAAACAAACTCCAAAGTAATATAACGGCTATGGAATCAGATCTCAAAACAAAATACTTGTTTTTCTATGAGGTAAGTAAGAATTATTATAGGACATTGCAAAAAAAACGTCCTCTCAACTGAATTACAGCTAACAAGAAGCTTAAACAACTCAGAGCAAGATCTAGTTGATCCCGACATGTATGACATGACATCTATGTAAGGACACTGAGTTTCACGTTCAATGAGGGTCTTTTTCATCTTTAGCATGCCTATAACTTGTTAATACACTTTTCAGCGTCCCTTCAATAAATTGAGCTTTTTCTAGAATCGTCCGAGCCTTAGAAAATCTCTCACAGACAGATCGCAAAGCTATCATCGACTACCTAAACTTCAGCGGTTAGTGCTAGATTTCATAAGAAATTGTGGCTTTTGTATAGCAACTGTTCCTGAATTGGGTGTTCATATGTGGTGGAAAAACCTGTGGGAGATGGGTTTAAGAAGGGAGTTCCGGCTCTCATCAAGTAAGTTCTGGGTTGCGCCCATACATTTCCTTTCCATTCAAAATCACCCTTCGTTGGAATGAGCACCAGGCCAAGATAGTTTGGAAGGCTAGATGTTAATCGTGTATTTCCGCCTTCCCAAAAGGGTTAACGAAGACCTATCACACAACCGATTCCCGAAGACATGGGAAGCTACTTGGTTTGGGTGGGTATTGGACTTGGATTTAGACCAAGGATCATGTGATTGTGGAGCAACTTGCCACCTTCCCACCCTCTATTGAATACGAGATTAGACTACTTACCAGAACCGATTCTTCTTTCGGAACATTTTTATCAAAAGAGGAGTGGCTGAAGTCATACTTGTCACAAAAAGTAATAGTTAAACTCAGAAAAGGACTGAATTCAGAATTTTGAGATATTCTTTTCGTATAGCCTGAATGTAGCTTTTCAGAAATACCTGTAAATGTTCCAAGCTACCAACCGTCTATACTTCCTGATTTTGCCGCCGGGACGGAGGACCAATCGATACTACCGACTTCTCAGGACGCGCAAAGCGAACTAAACGATGAGCTAAGGAAATCACTGAAATACGTCGAAATCCTAGTGACTGCAGCAAACAATTCCCTGCCTTATGAACTTCAGAAAAATGATTCGTTGACACTTTTAGTGCATATTATTCGTACGGCCCTAACTATTCATACTCCGCTAACATTCAATGATATCAAACCGATTTTTGTGGCTTTAAGTAAATTCAGTCAAGAAATCTCCCGATATCTTGGGAGAAAAACTCACAATTCATATGATTCGTACGAAAGGCGATCACACTCCTCCTCATCTTCAACCATTAGCGACCATCAGTTAGATTTTTCTGCCGTTGCGATACATGATGCTCTTGAGCAGCTCTGTAATATCGCTGTTAAATTGGACACTTGTGGATCCTTATTGAAATCGTATTTTCAGTTTAATTTGGGTGAAAAAACAAAAAGTTTAGCAGATAATGCCAAATTCTTTGAGAAAGTTCAAAAGATTGCCAATGCAGCCAAATTTTGCTAATGAAGAGTTTCTCGAAATGATGCTATTGGTTCAATCTGATAACCAACCAATAACAGTCTGTCTATGCCTTAGCAATCTTCTACGCCTTATCTTTTCAGTCTGCTTCCTTTTGATACTGGTTTTTCCTTTGCTAATGTTTTGATTTTGTAAATCAAATAGTTGAATAAAGATGTTTCTCCGCTTTATGTCATGGTTTGCCATGATTGGTCATGGTCAAATGAGCTTTGACCATATAATTAACCTTTGCATTGACAAAAAGCGTAGCTAAAATTTGTGATACCTTCGAGTGAAAATCGAGCGTTCGTACGAGCTGTTACCTCATTTTTCTTGCTTTTTTCTAGTAGTTTTTAGATTTTATGGCAAGCCAACAATGCGGAAAAAAGACCTCGGAGTTTAAAAATCAGAAAAATCTCACAATTCTAGGGATGGGATTTTTTAAGTCACCCATATCTTTTCACAGATGAATTCCGGCAACAGTTCCGTAAAGAATGTGCGGTGCTAGATCTTCAACAGAACCTGTGAATGTTTAGTAACTAGCACTAGCCTCAGAACCACTATGAAGAAGTAAAACGATTAAAAAGTTTTCATGAAGAAAATCTCATGTAGCACATTCAGGTATATTGCTAGCCTGATACATCATAGAAATTGCAAAACATTGCCCGGACCAGGATCGAACTGGTGACCTTTAGATCTTCAGTCTAACGTTGCCCCGGACCAGGATCGAACTGGTGACCTTTATCCAGGATCGAACTGGTGACCTTTAGATCTTCAGTCTAACGCTCTCCCAACTGAGCTATCGAGGCACATGCCTGGACGTCGTGGCCGATGTTGTTGGAATAACAAGTAGTCACCATGGAGATGACTTAACTAGTACCAGTACATTAAATCATAATTCATTACATAATTTCTTGAATATTACAACCTGGCTAAGGTTCCCATCCTGCACAAGCCGATTACTCTCTTCCCCAGGCTTCCCTGAACTGATGCTACACAAGTTTCAGGGAGCAAAACGTCAATATGGGAAATTGCAGATCAGCGATTTGATAGATTTGACAACACACCTGTGCAAGTACATGCAATGTACATATATGGATATTTGTTTGTTTTCTACTTGTTTACTCATCCAAATATTTAAGTATGTACTCTGTCACATAAAAGCTAAAACTCCAAGGCAATGGTCCTGTTTAAGCTGCTAAGAGAAACAGATAGAGGTTTAAAAAGGAAAAATGGACTGAATAGATCAAAAACATTCAAGGTGTAAACAAATGTAATCAGTCTACCTGGCTTAAAGTATTATAGATCGAGGTCGAACATCCCTACCCACGAGCACTTTGTTAGTAACCACTGCAGCAACGTGGGAGATGTTGAGAGCAGCCGAGCTCTTTCGGGAGCAACAATCGCAAACCGTCAGCAAGGATAAATGAAAAATTCAAAGGAAATGTGAGAACATCGAAAAAATTTAGTCAAAAATTTAGTTAATGAAAAGTTTGTCTTTCCTTTTTCGACTAGCCAATATAATTTTTCATTCTACTGTCCTTTCGAATATTTGCAAAATATTACCTTTATTTTTTCCTTAGAACATTGAATCGTGGAGCCTCCTGGTCCAATTCGTGGTCCAATAGATGAGTAGATCTGTCGTGGTAAACCGCGACTTTCTACTTTAACACGCTATATGCAGTTAACTTTTGATTCAGCTGGAATGTAGAATTAGTCACTTCTTCTTAGACTGGCATCTGACGTTAGTTTTTACGCGACATCTGTCCGTACTGTAACATCTGGAATGATTGCTACCGTATACAACCCAAGCAATGTATCGCTCAGCATCCAAAAAATCTACCGCTGAACGACCGTGAAAAGATCCATTGGGTTGTTTGAACGCGATGCAGCACATCTTGTCACTGCACCATCATTGCTCTCTGTTTTTGTTTTGCAATTCCGAATCCCTGCAATGGAATAGCCTACTTATTATACATCATTATCATTACCACACATTATCATAGCTTTTCATCAAACTCATTTTCCATTAGTTTAGTTTTTTGTACTATAACCACCGTTGTTAAGGAACGCACCCTCCCGGGGTTACTCTCGCAAAATGGTACCTCCTTTGAGCTTACTGCTGTTTGGAGCTTTTGTAGGACTTACAGGTAATCTTTGCCTAAGATATGTGATCAATTTAANTTTAATCGATTTTCTAGCTATTACTATTATTACTAGTATAATTTTTTAGCCGAATACGGAGATTTGAATGACCATCCATTCAACAATGGGGCAGAACTGCCTGATGCTATTAAAGAACTGTTCAGTGGCTATTTGATTGACATATACAATGAGGTTTGAACGGGGGACAATGGTAGATAAAAACTAAAAACATTTTGATAAACATAAAAGCATGTTGATTCAACCTATTCATTCATTCGTTTATATTTTTATTTATTTATTTTATTTATTTATTTATTGCATATAAATGCATGACTATGACCATCCGAAGTTTCCCAAAACAACATGGTCCGGGACAAATCGCCTTTTCCCTTCAGACATTCTTTCACGAAAAACTTGCTGTAGTAAGCAAGATCTATCCTGAGCAATTTGAACGTATGGAGGAGCTTCACAAAAAACTTACAGCTATAAAATCAAATTTGGAGGTTATCGTACTATCTTTGCTTGAGGTATGCAGTAATCGTTTACCATTTTCTCCCAAAGGTTTACCATTTTTGAATGAACTTTTTTTAACATTGCAGATAGTGCAAAAACTGCAAAAATTCGAAACTAAATTTCACGATGACGATGATTTTATATTTATCTATTATTTATTCGTCTTATATAGAAATACAGCATTAGGCCATTTTTTCTATTTCAGAGTGGCAAAGGCTCTACACAAAAATCGAAAGGAAAGTCGCAAAACTATCTTTGATTTTCTAAATTTCCTTGGTAAGTAACGGTGCACGGTACCAGTACAGTACTACTGATAGTGACAGTACTACAGTATCAACATTAGGAAGGTCTGTAACGATAGTTGAGTACGAATTTCTATCGAACGGGACAAAATCGATCTCCCTAAAATAGCTGTAAGCTTATTTTGCTCTTACACCTTGACGGGGGAAAATCCACGTCCTGGCCTAGTGATGCGCACTGAACACTTTCCAAAGTCCAAAATTTATTGATGTAGTATCACTAGACTAGTCGTGATTTTTGTGGAGATTTTTATGTTCTCACAAAACAACAGCGAAAATGCAGCGTTTCAGAAAGACTCGTGAATGAAACAGACTACCAAGGGTCTGATGTGAGCGATGGGACAGACGACTCCACGTCTTCGGTTTCCCCACAATCACGAGAAGATTTAGACGTCGAGCTGTGAAAGTCACTGGAAGCCCTGGAAACAATACTACTTGCAGAAAATAGTTTACGACCTCACGTACTTCAGGAAAATGACTCTTTGAACCTTTCGTTAAAAGAAATGATGTTAACTGGTGGAATGATGGTTATTAGTTCTGGTCCACATTCGGGGACATCGCAAAAATTTTTGTGCTCTAAGAAATACAAGTTATGCCTTCCGTTACCTTAATCCCAACATTCAATATCAATGAAATCTAGTCGACGCTTGGGAGTTGTAATTCGCAGTTGCAGTACTATGTATATGATACTCCTATGAAGTTTTGTGATATTGCAATTAAACGACATCCTGATTATGGAATTTTGTCAGAACCACATTTCAAATTCCAATTGAATAACGGAATGAGATATTCTACAGAAATTGCTGAATTTTTCTTCGGAGTTGGGAGAGTTGCATCAGCAGCGGAATTTTACTAACTTCTCCATTAGAAGGATAGCTGAACGATTCAGTCATGTATTTCTGCTATGAATGGTGCTTTCAGATAATCACAGAAACAGCCTACGTGCGTCTCTATGATTGGTCGATTATCCGGCAACACCAATCACAGCACCAACGATCGATCATAGCTAGATTTATTANATTGCGCGGCGAAGTGCGTGGTGATTCGAACGTCCCTGGCGCCTATCATTGGGGCTCAAACTCGAAGTAGAGTAGATTGGTAGGGTCAGCTGATACTACTAATCTACTCTACTTCAAATTTGCGCCCCTTTGATAGGCGCTAGAGTCGTTCGAACCACCACGCACTTCGCCGCGCAGTTTGCCGCGCGCACCCTCGGACGCACGTAGGTTCCGTCCCCCCATCTTTCGTGACGAGCTCATGTTGCAATTTCTTGTAAACAATAAGATAAAGAGTTGAATTGATTTCACTGATTTATCTAAGCAAACGACGTCATTGACATACTCGAGCCAGAGGAAATAGGCATTGCATACTTTGAACGCCACTAGGCATCCTAGTGGCGATTGAAAGCATAGACGCTTATCCAGTTGATCCAGTTGATCGACACCACGAGCTTGATTTTTCGTCCTTTTCATCAAAAAAGTATTTTGTTGGTCTGCATTATTTCAGGCTCCTGCCCTCCCAAAGGTTTTGAACGTGCACGATTTTTGAAGGCATCAAGGGAACGGTACAAAAGGCGAAGAGCAGCCTGTAATAATAGTGGGTAAAATAAAAAATGATCTGAAAAGTGTAAAGGAGTATTCTCTCTAAGGCACCCTCTATTATTGAAATTCCTCAGAAATTTAAAGTGGCATACAAATGCGTACTTAGCCCGACAAGTTCGTGGAGCAGCCAGCTTTTGGAGCGAGCGAGCAACCGGCCCTTGGGAACAAGGGGAATAGAAGGGTTAGCCAGACTCAAGTGAAATCTGATTTTGATGAAGCCAGTAATAGCAAGTGACCATGAAAACACCTTAGTTCCTAATTTTAGCTCCTCCCGTACGCGATACTTTGGACGCCCAGACGAGTGGTTCAGCTGTGTGTACACATAGTTACTGTTCCAGGGGAGAAAGTGAGGATAACAAAACAGGGAATAGGGTTTGAAAACAGAAATCGCTTCTGACCGTCGTCGTTCGTCATTGCTGTGCGATCAGGTAAACAGAACCGAAAGGATACGGAACCAGCAACTAAGCAGCAGCGGTGTGTAGAATACAGTTCAAAATGGAAAGCACTCTTCCAAATTTGCCCGCCTAAAAAGTTGCCAAAATTCGAAACTCAAAAAAA